CCCTCTCCCCCTGCTTGTGTTCCCTCTCTCGCTGTGTCTCTCTCTGTCAAATAAATAAATAAAATCTTAAAAAAAAATTAAATAAACTTGAAAAACATCAAATGGGTTCAGGGTGCCTGGCTGGTTCAGTTGGTAGAGCATGAGACTTGATCTCAGGGTTGTGAGTTCAAGCTACACAGTGGGTGTAGAGCTTACTTTAAAAAAAAAAATCAAAATGGGTTAAATTCTCATTTAAAAAATGGGAAAAAAGTGAAAAGTAGCTTGTACCTTGCTAATTTGTAGCCCTCTTGATTTTTCATTTCTAGATGTGGTCAGCTTTGGAAAAGATGCCAGCTCCAGCCACCACATATGAAAGAATAGTTTACAAAAATCCCTCTGAGCACCATTATATGAAAGTCTGCCTGTGAGTTCTCCTAAGTTCTATTTGTGATTACATTTTTATGAATCTGAATAGTATGAAATTTGATACATTTTTTTTCTTTTTAATGTTTTTATAGAGAATTTCAAGATCGTGGGGTTGGACTGAATGCTGCACAGTTCAAACAGCTGCTTATTTCAGCCTTGAAGGAGCTCTTTGGGGAGGTATGAATCACTTGGTAGATTGAACACTCCTCAGATCTTTGTAAGACATACTAAAACAATGCTTTTCCAAATAATGATTTTAAAACTTTAAAAACATATTTGAAATTGCAGAAGCAGACTTTCAGAAATGATGAATTTTGGGTAGGTTTGTTCTAATATGCCTTCTATTTGACAAGGAACTTGTTAGACAAATGTTTTAGTGCCGTGCTACTCCCAGTACGGTCCAGACTGGCAACCTGCAAACAGTTTTTTGGGTTTTTTGTTTTGTTTTGTTTTTTAAGATTTTATCTATTTAGAGAGTGTGTGCGAGCAAGGGGAGGGGCAGAGGGAGAGGGAAAGAGAACCCCAAGCAGACCCCACATTGAGCGCAGAGCCCAACCAGGGCTCAGCCTCAGGACCTGAGATCACAACCCAACCCAAAATCAAGAGTCAGATGCATAACTGCCTGAGCCACCCAGGCACCCCGTGCAAACAGTTTTTTTGCCCATTGTGAAGATTTACACCAGAATCAGCACACTACTTCCTTTACTAAAAAAGTCCCCGAATCAAAAATTGAGATGAGCTATCAGAAGAGCTTGCAATGCAATGCTTGATCTTGGGATTGTGAGTTAGAGCCCCATGTTGGTGTAGAGATTACTAAAAGTAAATAAATAAATAAACTTTAAAAAAACTGAGCTGAACTAAACAATGTACTTAGTGATACTGTTGATTTGCATTGTGTTACAGCCTCTTATTTTATCACAGACCAGCACATTGAGTAGTCCTATTTTAGCATTTACTTGAAAATAAGTAGAATTTTGAGAGAGAACAAAGACGATTCAGGAAATTATTTCCTGATTCATATGTTTTATCAAGTCAAAATCTGGTAAGCATCTCATTAAAATTAAAAACATATACTCCACAGCAGACTCAGTTAAGAGGATGAAAAGACAAATTACAGACTGGGGGAAACTAGTTGCAAACCACATATCTAAAATATAAAAAGAACTCTCAGGCATCTGTGTGGCTCAGTCGGTTAGGCGTCTGCCTT